GCTCCAGACGCGCAGGCTCAGCGGCCGTGGCTCACGGGCCCAGCCGCTCTGCGGCATGTGGGATCTTCCCGGACCAGGGCACGAACCCATGTCCCCTGCATCGGCAGGCGGACTCTCAACCACTGTGCCACCAGGGAAGCCCCTGTATTTGGTAGTATTTTTGAGGAGAATTTCCAAGGTTACATTTCTTCTTCTCTAAACCTTCTCTGAACTAAGCAGCTTTAGTTTCCACTGATGTCAGTTGCCTTCATCAACCACTACTATGATGGTTGCCAAATGTTTCTATCATTCCTTCCACATTATTAACGTTCTACTGTAAGGAATTTTCCCTTCCTCACCTTTATACATTTATTTGTTCAGTAAGGACAGTATGGATTTGTGGGTTCCTATTTTATTCATGTTTTATGATCCAGTATATTTATTATTTGTTTTGGTGCTCAAATTGTCATAGATTTGGCCATTATTAGAAGCCCCGTTGAGTTGGTTCCTATGTCTTTTTGACGTATCTCTATCATTCTTTGGGCATTTCCTTACTTTCTGGCACAATAAGATTTCCAGGCTCATCTTGTACTTTTCCTGCTTCAGCCCTGGAAACAGTTATTTCTCTAAGAAGCTCTTAAGGATAATACTTAGAAACCAAGCTTACCATGCTTAGTATGCCCTCTTTAGCAGACATAGCTAGAAAATATATACACACATTATGTATATACATACACACGTCTATAACTATTTCTGTATTTATCCTATAGTTTTATATAATTGTATAAGAGACATCCAATCCTCCTCAAGTAATATACCAATCAATAAAAACTTTCCAAATATATGAATCAGTGTCTTCCCATTCCCTTTTTCCAAAAACAGCTTATATCTTGGTTTGTTTTCCCAACTTTAATTTTGAAAAATTTTTAAGTTGCAGAAAAGTTGAAAAAAATAATAACTGTGCATGTATCTTTTAGTAGTTTAACCAATTATTAATGTTTTGCCACATTTGCTTTATCTCTCTCTGTGTATGTGAATGTATGCATATGCACACATACACATCCATATTTTTTTCTGAGCCACTTGAAAATAATTTGTAGCTATATAACATTTCACTCCTAAATACTTTATTATGTAGCTCCTAAGAACAAGGGCATTTTTCTGGTATCACACCTAATAAGATTAAAATTAATATAATAGAATTACCTGATATACTGTTCATACCCAAATTTCCCCACTTGTTTCAATAAAGTCTTTTATCCCTCCCCACTTTTTTTGGCAAGGGGGACCCAGGATCAGTGAAAGACCCCGCACTGAGTTAATCTTTTTAGTCTCCTTTAATTTGGAACAGAGAGACCCTTGTTCTATTTTGCTTTTTGGGTTTTTTGTTTTGGCTTTTTGTTTTGTTTTGTTTTGTTTTTGCATTGATTCTTGGAGAGTCAAGGCCAGCTTTCTTGTAGAGCATCCCACACTCTGGATTTTTCTCATGATTAGACTCAGTGAAATGTCTTTTTGCAAAAATATGATATAGGTGTTGGGAATAGCCCATTGCATCAACAAGGAGCACATAAGGTCAGGATGTCCAGTTAGTGGTGATGCTAAATTGACTGCCTGGTCATGGTGCTGTCTGCCACTTCTCTCCATTGGAAAGGTACTGTGACTAATAAGTTAGTCTGAGATTTTACTTTGAGACTATGTACATATCTGTTTTAGCAGCCATTGATGAACCTTACCTGAATCAATTATTAAATTGGTTATTTCAAAATGATTTCACAGTTCTGTTGTTCCCTTTATATTTTTAGTTAGCAGTCTTCTATAAAGAGTGCTTTCTTTTCTCTCTGTGCTTTTATTTTTTTTTAGCTTTACTAACTCCAGGTATCATGAGTGTGTTATAATCTGTCACTGTTACTCTTCTTTTCAAAGCTCAAATTGCCTCAAATTTGGACTTCCCTTTGGTATAGCCCCTGTGTTATTTTGACATGTCTCTTTCAGTCTTTAGGCACTACCTTAGTTTCTCTATACTGTGTTCCAGGCTCAACCAATGTAATTATAATTTTAAATAGTCACGTAATACTCTAGTTTATGCATTGAAATTCATGTAATCGTATGTCTATTGACTATTTAGGTTTTCTGTTATTAATAATATTGCTGTCAACCATTTTATGCACAAAGATGTGTTTTTCCTTTTGGAGAGATTATTGCCTTAAGACAAATTTCCTAAGTGTTTCTAAAAATTCCATGGATATTGTTTTACAAAGGATCATACAACTTTATCACTGGCATTGTCTGTGGCTTCATTTTACATGCATTTGCCAGTACTGTTGTTATTGCTTTCCATTTTTGCTCAGCTTTTTTGTGTGTGTTAGTCAACCTTCTATGCATAGGTTTTTTTCTTACAAAATGAGAATTTTTGCTTATTGAAGAGATGAAAATAATGAATAATGAAGTGACTCATAATTTTATTTTAGATTTCTTTGACAGTTGTGGTGTCACGATTCATATAATTTGGTTTTATCTCCATTGTCCATGTTCAGAGAATTTATTCTGAATGGTGCTTCTCGGTGTCTCATTTTTTAGCAAGATATGCAGATGAACTTTACAGCAGTGGTGCTTAACTAGAGGCTTGTATCTGCAGCTTTCAGAGCACATGTATGCCTTGGTCTCATGCTAGACATTCTGTTTCATTTGGTTTAGAATGAAGCCAAGCATTTTCTGTTTTTAGGAAATTCCACAGTTGATTCTGATACCCATCATTGTTTGAGAATCACCACTTTGGAGATTTTACATATTAGTTACTCTGTATATCCCCAGTCTCCAGTTGCTCAGAAATCATTCACAAATATTTCTTTTTTATTACTTGCCAATTTAATACAGTGTAATAATCCTAAATCAGCAAATATTAACCAATACTAAGTCAGAATCTAGTTTTTCTTTTATTTTTTTGCACTTTGATTTTTGTTTTAGTGAAATGGGCATAATAGTGTTTTCTTGTTGTTTGTTTTTTTTTTTTTTTGCTTATAGACATACTTTGTTTCCTTATATCCTTTGCCTAAGTGATGTGATTTTGTAATTCAGTCCTATTTGTAATTACTGACATTGCTTAGAATTAATTCTTATATTGCCATTAGAATCTATTTTTCTGATAATATTGAGAAAGTTATGTTAGTTATTTCCGACGCAGCAGTATGCATATTAATGTCTTCCAAACAGTGTAGGGTTAAGGAATTTCTATTTGAACTTAAAACTAAAATTCATCTTCGTGTTTACAGGGCGTGTCTTTCACTTCAGAATGGTTTGCAGAGTATTTGCGATCGGCGGCAGCTGCTTGTTGGGTATGTCTGAATTTCTAGAAAATAATTTTAGTCCATTTCAAAGAATTGTGATACCACTTTTTTCCCCACTTAATAAAACTTTTCTCTCTAAGTAGATATATCTCCTTGGTCATTTTCTATAAGAAAAATAAACCCTTTCTAAGTGGACTGAAAGAGAATACTAAAGAAAATGTTATTCATTTCACATTTCATTATTCGTAATTTGAATGTGTCCAAACTTATTCAGCAGAAATTGAATGTTAGGGGAAACGGATTCATACTATCATTTAGTAAATGTTTATTGATGACCTACTGTATGCCAGGCCCTGTTCTCAAATCTTTAAGTTATCTATTTCAGGAAAAGGCAGAAAAAAATCCCTCGTGGAATCATATTGTAAGTAAATGTTAGGTGGTGCTAAGTGCTATAAAGACAAATAAATCAGGATAAAGAGCATAGAGAGTGGAAGGTGGTGCTGTTTTATGGAGGGTGGTCAGGACAGGCATCTCTGGGAGCGTGATATTTGAGTAAAGACCTGAAGGAAGTAGAAGAGAGCCTTGTAAATATCTAGGGGAAGAGTATTCTAAGCAGAGACTACAGCAAGTGCAGAGGTCCCAAAGCAGAAGTTCTCTGGTGTTCATGCTAAAGAAACAGGAAGGAGACCTGAGTGGCTAGAGCAGAGTGAGCAGGGAAAGTGGAGAGATGAGTTCACGGGTGAAGGGAGTGACTATGGTGAGGACTTGGAGTTTACTGGAAGGGATGTAGAGGATTTTGTGCAAAGGAAGACAATGGTTGACCTCAGGTTTTGAAAAGATCACTCTAATATGGAGAGCACATTTTGTTGGGGCAAAGACAGAAGCGGGGGGACCATTTAGGAGAGTATTAGAGTAATCCAAGTGAGAGAAAGTGGACTCGTGGACAAGGGTGGTGCCATGGAAGTGTGAGAAATGTTTAGCTTCTGGATATACTTTGAAGATTGAGCCAATAGGATTTAATGATGAGCTGGATACAAGAAGGGAGAGAAAGAATATTACTGCAGTGATTTTTATTTGAATAACTAAAAATGGAGTGGTCTTTTCCTGAAAGGGAAAACTGAAAAAGAAGTTTGAGGGGCAAACTCAACAAATGATCTTATTTTGCTGTTCATAAACAAATTACTTAAAATGGATTAGATTTATATGCATAAGCTCTAATATAGGAACAAATTATTATTCTTTCAAAAATAATTATTCTGCATAATAGTTTTTTTAAATGTCATGCTGTTCTTCTTTTAATTGCTTGTCTTTATATTTCCACCTAAAATTTACAGTTAAAATGTACAAATTATCTGCCATATAGAAAGTTCTTTTCTACTTAAATTAGAGGAAAGGTATTAAAAGCAAAAGAATATCCAAAAAAAGAATTTGCAGAATAGGTAAAGTTAAGACCAAGCATAATTTTTATGTTAGCTTTTGCTTAGGATGTTAAAGTCCATACATTTCTTTGTCATTGCTCTCTTGTAGGTGTATGCCAATCTAACATCTTGCCAAGCTCTTGGAAATATGTGTGTGATGAATATGAATTCTTATGACTCTACCACTTTTGATGCATGTCGACTGTTTCAGTTTATCTTTGAAAATACTGCTGGACTGGGCACTGTTCATTCTGTTTCATTTTGGTAAGGCTATTCTAATTGACGAACCATCATTTTGACGAAATTCAATGCAATTACTTTCACAAATACATATTAAGAATTGTTCCCCATTATTAAAACAATTGTGATTGTTTATAGGAGACAGAATCTTCCATGGCTGTTCTATGGAGACCAGCTAGGATTAGCACCTCAAGTACTCAGTACTACACCTCTTCCTACAAATTTCAGTTTTAAAGGGGAAAACCAGGTACAAGTCACTATATTATTAAAGGATAACTACATTTTGATTTACAATTTTAAAAGGTAACAAGAATATTACTAGTCATAATTCTTGATAGGCTTTTAAAAATTTAATTACTAAACTAAATCTAAATATTAGCTGCTGAGGAACTAAAAATATAAAGTTTAGCTGCCTTACTTGAGTACATGATACCTCTGGATTATGTCGTATGGCATCGTATGGCAGCAAGTAGTACTTGTGGGGTTGGGAAGGACAGTTTTCATCACCAAATGCAAGGCCATCTCTGTCCTGTATCTCCACATGTTTAAAAAGGGCTTCCAAAGATTGACTGGGATTCTTATGCCTTTCCTTAGCACTTCACAGCTCCAAATTCTTACCTCAACTTATTGACCTTCTAGAATGAAAGAACAGATTTTTCCCTCCCCTACTCACCCCCCATACACACACACACACACACACACACACACACAAACACACACACATTTAACAGGTTTCAAAAGAAGTTATCTGTCACCAGCACTGCCTCTCAATTCTGAAATAACAGTTTTTATGCGAAAACCCAGTCCATTTATTTTGGTGTGTTTAATCATAGAGATACTTAGTTTAATGTTGCTTCAAAGTAAACATAGTTAAATTCAATATTTGATCTCTGGAAAAAGAAAAGATCAATCAACAATGAAAAAAATTTTATAGACTATTTTACTGAATATATACTCTGGAAGTCTAAACTCTGAAAGTTTGTATAGACTGTTATATGTAATATATATATTTATAGAGGCTCAGAGTATGTGACATTATTTTATTCTTGTTTTTCTTTAATCAGAATACAAAACTTAAGTTTGTTGCTGCTTCTTATGATGTAAAAGGAAATTTTCTCAAGTGGCAAACTTTAGAAGGAGGTGTTTTACAGGTGAGTATGATTCTAGCTAGAGAATTCCTAACGTGTTTTATTTTTGACTGAGGCAAAAATGAGAAAAAAACTAGATTATTGCTTGGATAGAGCATCGGTTGCTTGGTAGAGTTGATTTTTTTCATGTGTTTTAAATTGGAATTTCTTAAAACTACTTTAAGTTATGACTTATAACAAAGATGCTCCCTTAACTTTTCATTCCCTTAATACATTGAATGAGTATTATATAAAGTATAAGTCCCTGTTGAGTGTTGATAACCCTTGACTATAAGCAAAGAAAACATTTGTGAGAGATATTTATCAGTTGTATTCTTTTGCTGTAGCTTTGTCCAGACACAGAGACAAGATTAAATGCTGCTTATTCCTTTGGAACAACCTATCAGCAGAATGTAAGTTGGAACTATTTTAAGCAGCCTGTATTTTAGCTTCATTTTTTCACATCAGCAATATTTGGAATATCTTTGAATTTTTGAAATGGGAAATTTTTTTGTAGTAATGAATAATTTCACCGATTGATATAGTTTTTATTAATCTAATCAGCATGAAAAGAGTACCTTGTCATAGATAGAGTCTTAAACATCATAATCAGTTGTTTATTTACTTCTAGGCATATAGGTCATAAAAATAATCTCTACTTTTGAGCATTTTAGAATAAAGCAAAAGTATTACTTCATTTTTAATGAACAATAAAGTGTTATCACTCCCTCCTCCCTCTACCCTCCAGAAACAAATAAAAATGCTTTCCTTTTCTCTCCTTCCATGCTTTCCTCCCTGCCTCCCTCCCTGACCTTCCTTCCTTTGGTGATGTATTTTAAAACTACAGTATGGTACAAAGGAATATTATGAGCCATTAAACGTTTGAAAGAAATTCACTAGTCTACAAAAATACTTCTTGATAAAATGCATATACGTACACCATAGAACAAAACTGTGCTTCCAGTTTTGTTAAAACCACAATGAAAAATACTATCAGGGAAAAGAGATTAGAAGAAGATAAACATTTTTAACAGTGGTTATCTCTGAATGGTGGGATTACAGGTGATTTTCTCTCTTTTTTATATTTTCCAAATTTTCTATCATGAATGTGAATTTACTTTTATTATCAGAAATGACTTCTGTGTTATTTTAAAAAAATGCTATTGTGTGTCTACCTTGGGCCAGGAGAATCAACACTTGTTAAATGCCCGCTGCTGTCTGCTCAGCATTTTATCATTTTTATCTCATCTGATCCATGAAATAACTATGTGAAATACATATTATTTGTGTGTTATGAATGAGGAAATGGTGCTCAGTAAGATTAGGTAATTTACTCAAGGTGTTGCATCAAGTAAATGTTCTGTTAGGCTTGAAAATCATGGTTTTTCCATTGAACCTGGTTGCCTCTCAAGGAGTTCATAGCCTAGTAGAGAAAACAGCTATATAGACAGACAAAGAATTGCAAAGAATGTGATGTGTTGTTCTATAGATATGAACAAGGTACCATGTTGGTCCAAAGGAGGGTTCATTAGCAGTTCCTAGGGAAATATGGAAAGGCTTTACAGAGTGAGTGATACTTGAGCTTGTAGAATGAATATGAGTTTGCCAGGAGAGCACAGTGGGGAAGGGAATGTCAAGCAGAAACACCATTTGCAATGTCAGAGAGATGTAGAATAGCATAGCATATTTAGAGACTGTAAGTAGATTAGTGTGACTGGACCATAGACAGAGAGGGAGCAGTGGGAGATAAAGCTGGCTCTGTTAAGGGGAGCCAAATCATAAACAGCAGTGTACATCAGGAGAAAGAATTGGGACCTCATCCCATAGGATAGGAGTTTTTAAACCTTTTCACTGTACACTTACTGTTGAGAATGAATGGGTTGTAGGACAAGATCCAGGTGGTTCTTTACTGTTAGTTATTTTGGCCCTTATAAAAGAATCATACATAGTATTCATGTTTTGAAAGACACATGGAAATGTGGATAAACAAGGTAACTGAAAGATATTTCATTTTACAATTAAAAAAACTTTTAAAGATAATAAATATGCTTTCTAATTTTCAGTTTGGATACTTTCATTTTTCATTTTCTTTTCCAGTGTGAGATTCCTATCTCTAAGATCTTAACTGACTTCCCCATGCCTACATTTTATGATGTGTACCTTGAATATACTGATGAAAATCAACACCAATATATTTGGGCTGTTCCTGTGTTAAACTTAAATCTTCAGCACAATAAAATATTTGTGAACCAAGGTAAGGCGTCCATACATACCACTCTTTCTCTGAGCTGAAATCAATTAACCAGTCAACCAACATGATAATTTAATAAATCACAGATTATAAGAATGGTCATAGATTCTCTCTGAGTATAAATTTCTATATAGCATGCCTAAAACAGTAAGGTTGCTGGTATATTTAGAAATTTTTACTAAATATATCAGGCTTATTACTAAGAAATTATGTTATTGCTAAAAGTGTATCCTGAGAAAAATTAGTAGAACTGTAAAATCAGGGCTAATTTTAATAGAAAAATTAGTAGAATGGGAAAAGTTCTCCTTGAGAGCCATCTTGAAGAATTGAAGATATTTTTTAAATGCCATCTCTTTTTTTTTATCATTATAAAAGACAGTAGCTCTGGCAAGTGGCTTCTGACTCGGCGCATTTTCTTAGTGGATGCACTAAGTGGAAGAGAAAATGACTTAGGAAGTCAGCCAAGATTAATTCGAGTTGCTACCCAAATATCACTGAGGTAAACAAACGTCTAATGCACTAAATGAGGCTTGGAGTATATGGGAAAACGTGGTAGTGAAAGTATTGACCTGTAATTATCAGGTGAAAACAATAAGAACACCTGAACTGGAACAATACATACTGTGTTTTTAGATGTCCCGATAGATTGGGATACACTAATAGAGGGGAAAATTACGTCAGAAGAGATTAAGGACTTTTGCCAAAATTCATATTGTAGGCCCACTCTAGACCTGCTAAATTAGAATTGGTTGAGAGGGGGAAAGTGAAGATCAGTGGGCTGAAGCAGGTATGTTAGAGCCTGCCAGGTGATTGCAATAGGCAGGCCTCCTGCGGCTCCATCTCCTTTAACAGCTACTGTTCTAGGTTGGCCCTCATTAATTATCAACACCTCACTCTTCCTAGGATACTTTTTTTTTAAAATAAATTTATTTATTTATTTTTGGTTGTGTTGGGTCTTCCTTGCTGCGCACGGGCTTTCTCTAGTTGCAGCGAGCGGGGGCTACTCTTCATTGTGGTGGGCAGGCTTCTTACGGCAGTGGCTTCTCTTGTTGTGGAGCACAGGCTCTAGGTGTGCGGGCTTCAGTAGCTGTGGCACACAGGCTCAGTAGTTGTGGCTCGCAGGCTCTAGAGCACAGGTTCAGTAGTTGTGGCGCACGAGCTTAGTTGCTCTGCGGCATGTGGGATCTTCCCGGACCAGGGATCGAACCCGTGTCCCCTGCATTGGCAGGCGGATTCTTAACCACCGCTCCACCAGGGAAGTCCCTTCCTAGGATACTTTAATGATGACCCTGCCTTAGGGTAGTGCCTTGCAGCCCTCATGCGTCTTCTCCAGTGTGAGATTCCTATCTCTAAGACCTTAACCAGCCTTCCCACCCCAATATTTTATGATGTGCATCTTGAATACACTGATGAAAATCAACACCATCTTCTTTCTGGCACTTCAACATACATTATTTTTTTCACTTTGATTTTTATGATAATCTTATCAGGTAGGCAGTACAGAAGTTTTGTCATATACCTTGCTGAAATCCAACTGTGCTGTTTTTAGCAGTCCCTCAATCTAATGTAGTATCCCTAGTGAAAACGAAATTGAAACTAGTCACGCCTGATTTGCTCTTGGAGAAACTATGCTGGCCACTGGTGCTTGGCATTTTCCTTTCTGAGTTTACAAACTGTACATTACTAATGCATTGAATTCAGCAAAATGTACCCCATTATGTGCCCTAAACAGTATTAGATATGACACAGTATTTTGTTAAGAATTCATCTTCTTTGAAAATTAGGATATTATCTGCCTTCCTCTAGGCTTCATGTAACACTTCTCTTTTGGGTAGTCCTCAAAAGTGGTGCACAGTACTTCACTGATTTCATTTGTAAACTTCATAAGACCTAGATCAACAAGAGTTTCTAATTTGTCTCAGAGGTTATATTTCAATATAAAGTTCTGACCACTTCAAATAGCCTATGTTGTTACCATTAGTTTATGTTTGACCTCTAGTTTTTAGTAACTGGTAGTTCTGAGATCACCAAGACTATCCATATCCAATTCAGAAGAAACAATAAGTTAAATTTATGTTTAAGGGCCTAGATGTACTTATAACTAAAAATGAATTTTCTTTTAAACAGTATCCGCCTTGTACCCAACACAAAAAATGGAAATATCTACCCTCCCTTAATTACCATTGCCTACAGTGACATTGATATCAAAGATCCCAACAGCCAGTCTGTGAAGGTGAGTTCCTTCCTAATCATTACCTCTCTATGTGTTCGTATAATGCTGATAGAGTTTGTGTTATGATCAAAAGACAATTAGTCCTTTTTAAAGTTTTAAATAAACATGGCACTTTATATAGTCAAGACTTAATTATTTTTTACTAATAGTGGTAAGAGGTGAGTTCTTATGGATCCTGGGTATAAAAAAGCAAGGATTATGTTTGTCAGTAGACAGCGTCACCAGCAGCTGGGCCTCCCTGTCAGTATCCTGGGGTATGCTGACCCATGCAGCTTCTGCTCCCATCCTCTTTGGCCACCTTGCTTCTGTTAAGATTTTGCCTCCTTGACTAACTAAACCAGGAACTCAAACCTTAAGTGGGCATGTGTGTTCCTTTTCTTACCAGTCTTGCCCACTTGATAGAGACACAATTCAACAGGCAGAAAGAGAATCAAATTATCAGCTTTATAACTAGTAGCGCTAAAGTGAGCTAGAGAATGCAGTTTGGACCTACAGCCAATTAGTCTTCTGCTATTTCCCAGCTCAGTTAAGTTTAACCACAGAACTAAAATCCTCCCCTGCCTGGCAGGGCCTGTATATGGAAGCGATACCATGTACACACTGAAAACGGGCTACACCAAAGAGAATGAGCCTGGGAAAGGCCGAGCTGCACGACACAGTTCCTCCTTTCTACCTCGCCAGGCAGATGAAGCATCCCTGCTTTGATGAGGGGTAAATGAGAGAGGATAGAGATCAAAAGCAGGCTAATCCTTCTATACTTCTTCCTCATTCCCTGTCCTCTCCAGAAACATGAGAATTGGAAGGTGAGCATTCCTTACTCCAAGACTCACTAATAGCTTTTAATTTCTATTATTTTACTTTTCTGATTTTAAAATTCTAGTTCTTCAGCCAGTGCTTTTGGCCTCTCTGTTGCACTTGTACGTGTGCTCAGCTACTATTGGATTCAGGCTTTCGTTAAGTGAAAAGTAGGCACATAAATAACTTTTCTCTGAAAGATTTCACATCCTCATTTGTATTACCTGATTACATGTTAAAATTAGCTTCGATTGCCTGTATTTGTATACATTATAGTGAGAGGAGAAGAAAATCCAGAAACATGCTTAGTAACAACAAAAGACTGCCTGGTTTACGTCTTCCTGGAATGGTCATTCTTGGGTAGTCAAGAATATATTTATCTTAACATAAAACACTTCTGGGTGTTTTCTTTAAATATTTTTCTTGTCCAAAATATTCTAAACTAAGTCTTGACAAATGGGAAAAAAAGTTGAGAGAATCATAAAACCATATTGAGGAAGTCCACCTCAAATTCATTCTAATTGTAGAATGTACAGTTCTTTCATCATTTCTTAATTTCTCATGACAGCTATTGTAAAAGTTCTACATTCATTTTAAGTATCCAGCTACATCTCTGCTCTCTCACCAAAGACAAATAGCCTATCTTCCTATTTTACTGAGCAGATCAAAACCATCCAATATGAATTCCTTCAGATTTCCTCTTTAATACTTAAGTATCTCTGTTTCATTATCTTTCCTAACTCCTGTTCCTATTTCTAAGAAAAAAGGACCCTTCCCACTTTCTTAAGCGAATTTTCAACCTGTACTTGTTTAGGGTACTTCCTCCAGTATCCTGTTTCACCCACAACCCTTTATTCAGCCAGCTTCTCTGCTGGTCCCTTTCCTTTGCTTATAATACCCTTCAGGTTGCCCCATCTTAAAAACAAACTAACATAACCAAACAGTAAAATCATCCATCAACTCTGCCAACTGTACAGCTTGCTATCGTGTGTCTTTCCTTGATTTCCCAACCATTTACTCTTTCATCATTTGCAGTTTTACTCTTGCCATTTGCTTCTTTGAAAACCTGTTTCATGAAGTCAGCAATGAATTCCACATACACTGGCTTTATTTCTTTAACTTGACACTTATACAGTTGACCCTTGAACAACATGAGTTTGAACTGCATGGGTCTACTTATACATGGGTTTTTTTTTTTTCTTCACTCAATATGTACCACAACACTACATGAAGTTGGTTGAATCCATGGATGCGGAGGGGCAATTCTAAAGTTCTATCTGGATTTTTGACTGCACAGGGGTTGGCGTCCCTAACCCCTGCATTGTTCAAGGGCCAGTTGTACAACATTTGACACTACTGGTGACCTCCTCCTTTTTGAAACTCCCTGTTTATGACCTTGCTAAGACTTAGGTATCTTCCCTCTCCTACTTCACATACTCCTGTTTCTCTTAACTCTTTACTGGTTCTTCTTTCTACTGTCTCAATATAATGGTATCCCTAAGATTCTTGTTCAGCCCTTTGATTAATCTGCCATCTTAGGCTGTGATTGTTTAGCCAGTTGCTGAATTCTTGATATGTAAGATCAGTCACACTCCTCAGTTACAGAAACCTATCAGAAAATGAAATATGGTTAATTTGGCTTGACTGCTATTAATGAACCTAACCTAGCTCCTAATGAAGCCCTCTTTCTTTAACATGTGTTCAAAAGGGATGTTTAAAGTAGCATGAATAATTCCCAAGAGCGTATTCATTTATGTATTGATACAAATAAGGGTCAACTCTAGTAACATTGATAGTTCAAAAGTATGGCATTTATGGTAAAATTCAGTTACAAATGTATTTTTCTAGTAAAAGTAGGTTTGTATTATATAACTTCAGTATGGCTAATTCACTTTCTTTTAAATATCAGGTTTCTTTCTCGGTCACATATGAAATGGATCAAGGAGAAGCACGTGTCCAGACAGATGTGAGTTTATTTTAACCTGTTAAAAATACTTACAGTATATTTTTTAATTAAAAAAAAAGTTTTTACATGTACAGGAAAGTTGTCAAAATAGAGAGATTTGCCATATAACCCTCACCCAGCCTCCCCTAATGTTAACACCTTACATGATGGTAGTACAGTGATGTTAATCAGAAAATTAATATTGATGTAGTCCTAATCTGTTAACTAATCTAAATACTCTTCGGATTTTACAGATTTTTTTCACTATCCTTCTTCTGTTTTAGGACCCAGTCCAGGGTCACATATTACTTCTAGCCATCGTGTGTATCTTTAGATCTGTGACAGGTGCTCTGTCGTTCTTTGTCTTTCATGACTGACACTGGTATTTTGGACCTCAATTGGGTTTATCTGATATTTTCCCATGATTAAAGGTAGTTTTAGCACAAATGCCACAGAAATGATGTTGTACCCTTCTCAGCAAATCATATCAGAAGATACTTGATGTCACTGTATCTTATTAACAGTGATGTCACCTTCGATCATATGGCTAAGATGGTGTCCACAGAGTTCTCCACTGTATTTTTCCACTTACAATTAATAAGTATCTTGTATCTTGTGAGGAGATACTTGAGATTATGCAAATATCCTGCTCCTCATTATTCTTTTGCCCTCTAATTTTAGCACCCATTGTTAATTCTTGCCAGTAAAAAGTGTTACTGTGACATTTGTCTGATGGTGATTGTGTATTTCCATCATTTCTTCTATATTTGTTAATTCAAGTTCTGCTATAAGGAGGGACTGTCCCTTTGTCCACATTGATTTATTTATTCAATTATTTATTTAAATCAGTATGGACTCATGGATATTTATTTATTCTAGCAATAATAATTCATTACTGTCTATTTTCTTGCTCAAATTGTCCCAGATTTGACCATTGGGAGTTCCTTAAATTTGGCTCCTATGTCCTTTTAGCCACCTTCCACCACCATTTTTTGAGTACTTCCTTACTTTCTATTTACAGTATCTTTGAACATGGATGAAATTACATTATGAAATTACATAAATTCCAATTTTTTTTTTCCTTTAGATTGCTTTGGGTGTGTTGGGTGGACTAGCTGTTTTATTGTCTCTTTTGAAGACAGCAGGTTGGAAGAGACGCATTGGGAGTCCCATGATCGATTTACAGGTATGATCATAGGAATTTTTTAAGTATATTTTTATCTTTTGGCTATTTTATATCCTTCTAATAAAACACAGCTAGAGAATGAGTCAAAAGTTGCCTTGAGTTTCTCTGGTGTATATGACTATGAGAGGTGTATGCTCATTTCCCTCCCACGTTGCTGTGGGCCAGTCTGCACACAACAGCAGAGCTGTTCTTGTTTCCTCACGTCCTCACCAATACTTGCTGTTTTTCAAGTCTTTCCATTTTTTGCCAATTTGGTGGGGTAAGTAGTATGTTATTCTTGATTTAATTTTCATTTCTCTGATTACTCTTCATATGCTTTATTAATCATTTGGGTTTCCCCTTCTGTGAACTTCCTGTTTGTATCCCTTGCCCATTTTTCTAATTAAGTTTTCAGTTTTTCTTGTTTATTTAAACAAGTTTTTATATTTTATTTATTTGGAGTTTTATGTATTTTCTAAATATAAATCCACTTTTGGTTTTTGATGTTGAAATTTATTCTCCAAGAGTGATTCATATGTTATTTTATCTGTGTGTTACTTTGTTTAACAGAAACTCTTGATTTTAATATTGTCACATCTGAGTAGGTTTTCATATTATGGCATGTGCTTTTAGGATCTTATTTAGGAAAGCCTCCCCTATCTCAAGATCAAAAAGGTATTCGCCCATATTTTATTCTATTAACTTTATAGTTTCTCTTCTCAATTAATCTTTTTTATGTTTGTTTTTATTTTTATCTACCATTTTTTGAATATTTACTATGTGCCAGGCACTTTTTTTTTTTTTTCTGTGGTGCGCGGGCCTCTCACTGTTGTGGCCTCTCCCATTGCGGAGCACAGGCTCCAGATGCACAGGCTCAGCGGCCATGGCTCATGGGTCCAGCCGCTCTGTGGCATGTGGGATCTTCCCAGACCGGGGCACGAACCCATGTCCCCTGCGTCGGCAGGCGGACTCTCAACCACTGCGCCACCAGGGAAGCCCCTATTCATTTAATTTTTATAGCAACAAAGTAATAGGTGGTATTTCCATTTCACTGATAAAGAACATGAGAAAAGCACGTAGTAAATTTGTTTGTGCTGGGATGTCTTCCTGACTCCAGAGCCAATGTGCCAAGGAATCAGAGGAGGGGGGCTTGATTTACTTTCTGGGATAGTCAAGAAAAGCTTCCAAGAGAAGTGAACTTTAAGCTGGGTTATCTGCGCATTCCACAGATAGTCACTGACAGCCTACTGTCTGAGTGCCAGGTGCTCTGCTAGGCACTGGGGGGATTGTGATAATGAGCAAAGAGAGACATTGTCTCTGCCCTCGGAGCTCATGAGAGTTTGCCAGAGATAAAAAGGGAAGAATATTTGTAGAATCAGTGCCCATTTCATTCCCCAAAACATTTGAGATGAAAGTGTGGAATAGTTAATTATTGAGTAAGTGGTTGGAACTGGCAGATGAGGCTAAATATTTAATTTTTGTCTAGGTTGTGGAGGACCTTGTGAGTTAGGAATTTATATGTTAATAAGGAGTCACTGTACATTTTTAAGAAGGGGAGTAACACAATCCAATTTACATTTTAGAAAGCCAACTCTGATGGTAGTATAGAGGATACATTGGAGAGAAGGATTCCAGACTCGAAGAAAATTAGGAAGCGGTTCTAAATTTCTTAGATGGTGAAAGATGAGAAGGGTTGAATAAGACAGAGGCTATTGGGAATGGATCAAAAGGTTAGGACCCAAAAGGTGTCTAGGAAGTGGCTGCAGTTGGTCTTTCTAACTGATCCACGTATACATGAAACAAGGCTTCAAGCTTGAGAAACTGGGTAAATAACATGTTATTAAAAGTAATAGTATAAATAGATTGTGTCTATAATGGCTGTAATTCTCTTTTTAAATTGCAGACAGTTATGAAATTCTTGGTTTACTATGCTGGTGATCTGGCCAATGTTTTCTTTATCATCACTGTGGGAACAGGTCTTTACTGGCTTATTTTCTTCAAAGTAAGTGATTTTCTGAATTTAACCTAAGTGCCAATACCTGAATAACTTGTAAGCTTTCTTTATAAAGGAACTGTCTTTAGTGGAGGATATTTTTGATCAAGAGTATTGGGGCAAATGCTAAACTCACCATTCCCTGAGTGTGCTATGTTTATTGAGTGCATCACCACCTTCCTCTTTTACGCTTTCTTTGGGTTATAACTTGTGTTTAGTAAAAACTTTGTATGGTCATGTTTAGCAGCGTAATTTTTATCATAGGCACAGAAGTCTGTCTCTGTTTTGCTACCAATGCCGGCTCAGGAAGAACGTTTTGTTACTTATGTGGGATGTGCCTTTGCTCTGAAGGTAAGCTTCAAAGCACGGGTTACTGAATTTAAAAGACCTGCTAATAAGCATATAAGTCTTTAAAATTAAACTGCTTTCAAAATCTTTGGTGTAAAATTTAGTTTAATTTTGGAAGAAAGCATGAATTAATTCTGTTTTACTAGGAAGTCTACTTTTATTTATAATAGATATCTTATTCTGAAGATCTGCCTTAAATATTTTTTTATTATTTAATTTAACCTGTTAATTGAGAGTAAAAGGTACCATGCTGGATAAAGTGCTGAACTCTTAGCATTTGTTCTCTGCCTCCATATTCCTTTCCTCCTCTTCCCATGGCAACCCCCCTCCCTACTTCATTGTTCTGTCGATGGATGTGAAGCTCTTTACATGCTTCTGTGGTAGATCTCATCCAATTGTGTTGTGATTATTAAGTGTCTGATGTTCCCACTGATCTGTGAGCTCCACGAAGAGAGGAATCATCCCATACTTAGATTTTTATCCCTTGTTTGATCAATAATGTACCTACTAGGAGGAAGCCTTAGTTTAAACATATTCTGTAAATGAAAATACCAGAAATAGGGGAAAAAAAACAACAGTGAGAGCATACTAAAGCTTTAAGTAGGACAAGCAAATTATAGTTGGAAATACCTTTACTTATAAAGAAGTTAGATGATCTAGAAAACAAAGTATGCTTTTGGAAACCTTGGGAAAGAGAGACAATTAATGCAAGATCCCTGTATGAGGAGGAGGTAGTGTGTCTCCTTTCATATCCCTATTTCAAAGAAAGACAGAAAAAGGGAAGTCGAATTAATATGTATATAAAAATTCTGTGAGTTTGGTGATTCCGCTATTTCGTGAGCTTCTGTTGATCCCCTAATGGTATTACAAGTTTGTAACTTGTAAAAGTTATATATTCTTGTGATTACAGTATGTTTGTTTCTTTTTTTTTTTTGAAGTATAGTTGGTTTACAACATTGTGCCAATCTCCGCTGTGCAGCAGAGTGACTCAGTTATACACATAGAGACACTCTTTTTTCATACTCTTTTCCATTATGGTTTATCACAGGATATTGAGTATAGTTCCCTGTGCTGTACAGTAGGACCATGTTTATCCACTCTGTGTATAATAGTTTGCATCTGCTAACCCCAAACTGCCAGTCCATCCCTCTCTGCCCCCCTCCCCTTGGCAACCACAAGTCTGTTCTCTATGTCTGTGAGTCTGTTTCTGTTTTCGTAGATAAGTTCATTTGTGTCATATTTTAGATTCCACATGTAAGTGATATCGTATGGTATTTGTCTTTCTCTTTCTGACTTACTTCACTTAGTATGATAATCTCTAGTTGCATCCATGTTGCTGCAAATGGCATTATTTCGTTCTTTTTTATGGCTGAGTAGTATTCCATTGTATATATGTACCACATCTTCTTTATCCGTTCATCTGTCGATGGACATTCTTAAAGAATCACTGTTGGTTTCATAAGCAGGCTTAATGCAGATACTTTAAGGTGCTTTGTTTGTCATTCTCAGGCTCTGCAATTTTTGCATAAGCTCATCTCCCAGATTACCATAGACATATTCTTTATTGATTGGGAGCGACCTAAAGGAAAGGTTCTTAAAGCTGTTGAAGGTAATGAAAGTAACCATTTGTACCAAGATTCTTTTGCCACCATTGTAGAGCAAAGAAGGTGAAACGCTTTTACTCATTTTATCTCCCCAACCAGGTGAGGGTGGTGTTCGGAGTGCTACCGTTCCAGTAAGCATATGGAGAACATATTTTGTGGCAAATGAATGGAATGAAATTCAGACTGTGAGAAAAATTAACCCACTCTTTCAAGTACTTACTGTCCTCTTCCTTTTGGAGGTATAAACTGATGTAATTGTATACAACTTATGGGTACCTCATAAATGTTATTATAATTCCAGCTAAGTTTTCATGTCAGTGGAAGAGTTTTCTAAAGGTTAAAATATTGTAATCAAGCCATTAAAAAATACACATAACATGAAATTTACCATCTTAATCATTTTAAGTATACAGTCCAGTACTGTTAAGTACATTTCCATTGTTGTGCAGTAGTCTCTAGAATTCTGTTCATCTTGCAAAACTAAAACTCTGTACCCATTAAACAACAGCTCCGTCTTCTCCCCTCTCCCCAGCGCCTGGAAACCACCATTCTACTTTCTGTCTCTTTGAATTTGTCTACTGTAGGTAAGGAGTGATTTTTAAACCACTGGTTTGTAGCAGAACCCCATAGGAAGCTTTTGCAGAATACCTATGCCTTACCTCACCCCTCGAGATTATGTTCAATTCCGTAGCTCTGAGGCAAGCTCAGGTATCTGTATTTTAAGAAACCCCCACCCCATTATTCATATTCTCACTCCTGTATTAGAACCACTATTAGAAGGTTGAAATCTTCTAATAAATTATCATTGAACACCTACTATGGACTGTGTTCTGTCTTAAGAGCTGGAGCTGTAGCTTAACAAGACACACTGAATGGGTACATGCTTATGATCCCTTTACAGTTATTTCATGGGTCTGAGTAGAATTATTAAAGAAGTATTCAGTACTGAATATGAGACTGAAATATGGAACCTGTATGAGTAACAGGTTTTCTCTAGAATTAGCTGCTTAAGTAAGGTTACATATGAATTATTAACTTGTATGTCTGTCTGCCTTCCTTTTTCCTTCTTTCCCACTTTTCTCCTTCCTTTCCTTTTTAAACCTAGAGGAATGTGTGTGTCCCTAGGATATATGAACACTGTCTCAAAAATTGATTTATAGTAGTGTTTTTTAAAGCTTTAAAAGGTGTTATGTGAGAAAAAAGTATTATAATGAAGTAAGTTTGGAAAACACTGGATTCAATAAAGTCATGTAGATTCCTTTACCATAAAACTTTCCAGAGCTTTTATTCTATGAGGGTGGAAAGCATGGAGGTGAGTATAATATACTAACTTAACTTATTTGATCATGGTTTCCTTTTATCAAAGATGGTATCTTCCTCAAAAGACATTTTGCAAAATACTGTTTTAAAGTATAAAAGGTATTTTACATAGTTCCTGGCATATGTTAAAACTCATGAAATACTGGTTGTTCATTGGTAGTTTACTGAAGAAAGCTTTATTCTCTTGACAGAAATTTTTGAGCTTTGTCTGTGTATATGATAATGTTATATTTGGCCTTTAGTTATATTGAAGAGAATACCAAATGAACTAGCTAAATATTTTGTATTAAATACTTTGTAATTAAAATACTGGATAATTATTTTTATCTAGATTTTCTACCATTTATACAAACTTGAATACTTTAGTTTTTCAAGGTAAGGGGTAGAGAGGAGGGTCTTATTTTCAGACTAGAGGAGTTTTCTTTATGTCTGTTTAAATTATTTTTTCTTATTATTTCAGGTTGTGGGATTCAAGAACTTAGCATTAATGGACTCATCTTCTAGTCTTTCCAGAAGCCCACCTAGCTACATAGCTCCTTATAGCCGCATTTTGAGATATGCGGTGTCTACCGCTCTTTGGCTAGTCATTGGAATTATACAGGTAACAAGAGATTGTTCTTTTAAGCAACATTGCCTCTCTATATTTTTAACTCGGTTTACATGCTAATCCTCAAATATTGACTACAACATGATTTCTATAGTATAAAGAAGGTGACAAGAACAGCAGTAATAATAACTAATAGCTAATTTTTACATAGTATGATAATCTAGGCACTGTGTTAATTTACTGCATTACACAAAGTAACTTACTTAATCTTTATAGTAGCCCTCAGAGATAGATTCTTTTAGTATCCTCATTTTATAGCTGAGGATGCTGAGGCACAGAAAGGTTAAATATTTACCTAAAGTCATGCAATTAGAAATTGGCAGAACTGGAATTTGAACCCAGGCGATCTGATTTCAGAGTCCATTTCTTCTCAATAGTGGGTCTCTGAAGGGTCTTTCAGAGTCTGCAGCTTTCTAGTCACAGGATTTAGTTTATATATAATGATAGGAATTGCTAAGGTACCCTTAATCTTTTCTTTTGAAATATAACTTATAGTTTACATTTATTTATATATCATTAAACCTCTCAAAAACCAGTACCCCTTCTGAAATCTTCTCTGAAATATTTATTGAAATAGCTGAAACTAAAAATAAATCTTCTCAGGTCCCAGGGCTCTAGCAGAGGATATTTTCTGTGCTTACTTCCCTTATCTTCTTAAAGCTTTAAAAAAAAGAATGAAGGAAGAAAAGAAAGAAGCAGCAGCTACAGCGCTTAACTCTGATCTCTGCATTTCTTTCTCTTGCTTACAGACACTCCCATGAGTGGAAAAAGGCTTTCTGTTTGATTAAGATCTCTCTAACTTTTAAGTAAGCAAATGAAGGTGGGACCTCTAGAAAGAATAGATTGAACTTCCTGTAAACTGGAGAGCAAATATTTGCCTTAAAAGCTTATTTTAAAAAATCTTTGGGATTGAAATCCCAAAATTCCTACAGAATTGGACCCAGGTGTCATTCTGAAACTTAAGAATAGACTCTTTAAATTTGCATTTATTTTAAGTTGGTGAGACTTGTTCAAACTTGAAGCTATAGGATAGAGCTAGTGAGGGATAGTTTGACAATTGGAAAAGAAAGAGAGACAGAAATTAGGATTTGAAATAAAATTCGATTAAAAGAATATGGGGTTTGATTTTTTCCCTTCCAGTTTTATTGAGATATAACTGACATACAACACTGTGTAAGTTTAAGGTGTACAGCATAATGATTTAACTTACACACATCATGAAATGATTACCACAATAAGTTTAGTGAACATCCATCATCTCATACAGATACAAAATTAGAGAAATAAAAAGAAAAATATTTTTCCCTTGTGATGAGAACTCTTAGGATTTATTCTTTTAATTTTTATGTATAACCTAAAACAGTGTTAATTTATCATGTTGCACATTGCATCCTTAGTACTTATTTATCTTATAACTGGAAGTTTGTGCCTTTTGACTGTCCTTATCCAGTTCCCCCCACTTCCCCCTCCAGCCCCCACCTCTGGTAACCAGAAATCTCATCTCTTCTTCTAAGAGTTTGTTCATTTGTCTGTTTGTTTTTGATGTATAATTAACCTACAACACTATGTTAGTTCCTGGAACACAGCATAGTGATTTGATATTTCTATACATTTCAAAATGATCACCATGATAAGTCTAGTTACTGTCTGTCAACCGTATTATGGGGTTTGATGTTTATCATCAGTATAATAGTAAGAAAATATTTATTTTTACATATACCAATATAAGTTTTTGTGAATAGATCAGATTTATCTGGGTGTAGAGAATTTAAAGGAATACCATCTGAAGCTTTTCGTATTGGTTGAGTACAACAATACAGAAACCCCAAATAGCAGTGGCTGAAATAAAAGTGAGTTTTCTGTCTCCTGTGAGAAAGAAGAGCAGAGGTCGGCAATGCAGGGCCAGCAGGGTGGCTGCTGTCAGGCCCAGATGCCTGTTGTTCTGCTCTGCCCCTCAGGACTTTACCTCTAAGGTCACCTCGCAGTCCGTAATGGCTGATGGAGTTGCAGGGGTGAGCCAGGGGAGAAGACCTCACCCTTTCCTCTTTATTTGTTCACTATGAGTTTTAACTGAAAACATTAAAACAGCTTAACTACTCATAATGAATTATGAAACTGTAATAGTTAAATTGTATTATCATTTATGAGGCATTTATTCTTCCTTATTTTGTAGACCTGCAAGAAAGTTTGCATACTTGTGTTGTTTTCTGTTCTGCATTTCAGAGGAAGATTATTAAGAGAAAGTCTAAAAGTTTTATAAATCAAAACCCAACTGAGAAGTAAAATATAAAGAGAACAAAATTTATATATAGCTGAGCATAGGTGGTTTTTAGCTCACGTTTTAGGTATGAAAACAATTTAGCTCATTTCACATGAAACACAAGCAGGTAAAGTAGTAAATCTGAATCATGAAAACCCCTATCAGTTATTTTTAGCATGCCTCTTAATTTGTCTTTCCCCTGGTTTCTTGTCTTGTGTGCCGGAGTCTCAAACAGAGCAAGTCTCGAACCACTTGAGGGGGTGTCAGTGATAAATGGGCTATGAAGGAAAATGTCAGCAAACACGAAAAAGCAAATCCTGCCATAACTATGTAGTCCACCCAGACTGTTCAGCCACATACCCATCGATAAATCCAAGTATTGCAGAAAAGAATAATTCCCTGAAACCCCTGTTCAGCTAGCTTCTGGCCCTTGTAATCCATTTGTGTGGGCAGCGAGCTTAGATGCTCCAGCATGACTGGATGAGGAGGTGGGCAGTGGGGCAAGGGCAGCCCAAACTCAAGGACCATAGGGGCCGGGGTCTGGTCCTGTGTGCAGATTGGTGGGCCTGCCGATCCGGGGAGTGCAATGGACGCTCACCCTCTCCTCTTTGAGAGCCCTTTCAGAAGTGTCTTTGACATCTTCTTGGTCAGAACTTGGTCACATGGCCACACTTCACTGCACTGTCAGCTGGGTAGACCCCCTCAAAGAAGGGGTCTGTCACTAAGGGGAAGGGAAAGGATTGTTCAGGCAGCAACTAGCTGTCTTGGGCACTACCGTCTAACCTCGTTCTTTGTTTCTCACTTTGCTGTCATTTGATACCATGGTCACATTCTCAAACTATCAGTGTTTATTCCTAAAATATCCATAAAAGTTCCTTTAGCCTATTACAGTTCCATAAGTTTGTCTATACAAAATCTTCTTGATTCTCATAATATTAGGCTTTATTGTTCACTCCTTATATTTCCCCAAACCCAGCTTCTTCAATTTTTAAGTGGCATCTTTTAGTTTTTAAACTTTGAATGTTACTGTTTTTCATGTCATTTAAAGGAGTTTTAAAATGTGTACATTGAGTATTTAGGAAAGTCTTTTCAGTGTTCACCTGCTATATTCGTTTACATATCTGAGTACGTGTTATGTGCGAGGCACTGTGCTGAGCTCAAAGATATGCTGTAACAAGAACAAGTCACAGTTGTGACAAGTGCTGTGAAGGGCATCAGCAGGGAGATGAGATAGTAGAGGGGGAGTGGAAGGGGAGTGGAAGTTAGGAATGCGACAGCAGGCGACAGCTTTGTATTGGGTGGTTAGGAAATGTTATCCTTCTCTGAAGTGTATCTAAGAAGGCCTACAATGTAAACTTTTCTCTTGTGATTTATAAAACTTCCCTTTGTAGTATTGTTATTAAATCTATCTAAGAAAACACTTGAAACCATCCCATTTGAATGTTTAACACATTATCTGTAGTTGAAACAGAATACTTGACATATGCTTTTTATGTGCTACTGTTTCAGAGAAGATTAATTTGAAAAACAGCAATTTTTCTAGTGGCTTTTTGAATTTAGGAGATGAGCGGAATTGCAGAACCAGACCTAAATCTGGCCATTAATGCATTGGTTTATCCTAAAGCTTTTAAAGCCCCTTACTTCCTCCCCCTGTGTTTGTCCTATCTTATTTTAATGACACAGAAGAGTTTTTTAAATTCAAAATAAGCTCCCTCAGTGAATCTTAACACAATTGCAAAGCACTCTTCCTTTGACAGAAGAATCAGAAATGATAAGTAGGATTTTATTCCACAGGAATTGTTATTGGCCACTATGTTCTTGGTTGGAACTTCTTTTTTCTTATGACACTATACTGTGGCTATAAAAGAAAATTAAATCCTAAAATCTAATAAACATAAACTTGGCTTAATGTTTCAGATTGTGTTCTTTGCTGTCTTTTATGAGAGATTTGTAGAAGATAAAATTCGACAGTTTGTTGATTTGTGCTGTATGAGCAATGTAAGTACTTTCTGACTTTATCTTGCAACTGTTATTTCTCCCTTTTTAAAGGTCATGAGTACACTAAGAGAGGCTTTAAAAGTGATTTGCTATGATTGTATTTTTAGTCTGATTTCCACTGGTGGTTAATTCCAGAGATGGTTATAACAAGCTACAAGTTAATATTTACTGTCTTAATTTTTCCTTCTTTATTTGCAGTTTCTTAATTATGAATTGCTTATGCCACCAAACAGTTGACTCAGCCTGAGTCCCTGAAAAGTTTTCATATATCAACCCTGTTTCTTCCTTTCTTGGGAGTGTCTCCAGTCTCTTTTGCATCTACTTTTTAAAATAACCTCATTATCCTTTATTATCTTACTATTCTCTTTATATGTTTTCCAAGAATTCAACCCTCATTATTTTGAGAGAAAGGAAGCAATTTTAAGAAGAACTTAATTTTTATTGTTTTGCAGATGAGTTGCTAACTGCTTCTTCTTCTCTTTTGATAGATATCAGTGTTTCTGTTATCCCACAGATGTTTTGGTTATTACATTCATGGTAGATCAGTACATGGGCATGCTGATACTAATATGGAAGAAATGAATATGAATCTTAAAAGAGAAGCGGTATGAACGTATTTTATATCTTTTTGTTTTTTAAGTTGAGAGGTGGTTTCTCTTAATCTGGGATTTGTAGTAATCTTTTTTAAAAATCCTCATTGATTACTGTTGAAAGTTGCTAGGATACCAGCTCATTACCCTGAACACTGAAAGGGAATGAGTCAAATTCCATCCTACAGTTCTTTTATGAACTGTATTTCAAAGTAACCAAATAATTCATGAGGGAAAGATTTTTCTGTTGGAAGAAAGTAAAAGGAATTCTAAGTTAGAAAATCACCATTTTGTAATGACTAATGGATTAATGCCTATAGGCTACAATCATCAATGGATGCTAAAAATTAAGTGAAGGACGACAGGGAACTTTATAATGAGGAATCAGGTTGATATAATCTGAACACACTGGCTCAACCTTACTACAAGTAAAAGTTAGGAAAACTGACATTATGCACTTCCTGTTATGATGCAGTAGGGAAGTACATAATATCACCCATGAAATATTCTTGCCTAAGAAAATTGAACCTGAATGTAATCAAGCCTCTAACCACCAGTTTACAGGAAATAGAGGGGATAGAGACAAAATAATACCACAGGAAGCAATTAGCCAGATGCAAAATGTTAGGATGTCTCACAGGACAAACGACCCAGTGTCTCCAACAAATCAAAGGCATGAAGAGAAAAGGAGAAGTGGTGGTGGTGGTGGAAGAAGACTGTTAGATATAAGAGAAATTTAAGAAAAAAAAATAATCAAATACAATATGTAGACTTTGATTGGATCCTGATTCAAACAAACCAACTATAAAAAAATCTTTGGGAAAAATCTTGGAGATTTGATAGACTAAATATTAAATTATATTAAGGAAAGATTAATTTTATTAGGTGTGAAAATGGCATTTTTTTTCAAGGTCTTATTGGTTGGAGATACATACAGAAGTATTTGCAGATGAAATAACATGGTATCTGGGGTTTGCTTTAAAAGAAAAAAGTTGAGAGGATAGATGAAAATTGGTAAAATGTTGGTAATTGTTGAAGTTGGGTGATGGATGGTTTGCTGTTCTTTCTACTATGTATATTAGAAAACTTCCATAAGAAAATTTAAAAAGAAAAATATGTACTTAAGAGGAAAAACCAAGAGGATTTATTGATTAAGGGACTATACCTGTGACTTGCAAGAACTTAATAGATGATAACAACATCTCAGAGAAGAACAATTTGTTTAATACATTGAACTGAATCAGTTGGTTAACTGTTAGAAATTATACCTGGACTGAAAGGTTAAATTTAAAAATGAAACTATGAAAACCTAGAAAAGAATATTTCAGATTGGGAGATGACAATCTAAGCATAAAATACAGAAAGCATCAAAAAAGTATTTGTTGATTTTACTTTATTAATGTAGAACATTTGTGTAGACAACAATTATATTAATAAAAGACATGGGGTAAAATTCTCATAGTAAATATGACAAACATATTGATAGCTATTGAAAGTCATATAAATCAGTAAGCAAATTAAGTTAAAACCTCAATGGAGGGACTTCCCTGGTGGTCCAGTGGTTAAGACTCCACACTTCCACTGCAGGGGACACAGGTTCAATCCCTGGTTGGGGAACTGAGATCCTGCATGCCGCAGAGCGTGGCCAAAAAACAAAAACAAAACAGAAAAAACAAAAAACTCCCATGGAAAAATGACAAAAAGATTTTTTTAATATGTAAATAAACAGAAGAGACTAATAAATGTCTAAAAAATATTCACCTCATAAATCATAAAAGAAATGAATGTAAAAATAACATTTTTACTTTCTTCAAATTACCAAACTTTTTTTTAAAAAGCTAATAGTTAGTAGAATCAAGGACAGGGTGAAATGGGCACTGGTCTCAGAATACATTTTTACAAACCTGCTGGAAAGCATTTGGCAAGAGTTTTTTAAGAATTCATTATCTTTGGGACTTCCCTGGTGGTCCAGTGGTACAGAATCTGCCTTACAGTGCAGGGGACGTGGGTTCAATCCCTGGTCGGGGAACTAGGGTCCCACATGCCGCGGGACAGCTGGGCCCATGCGCCACAACTACTGAGCTCACGTGCCTCAACTAGAGCCCACATGCCGCAAACTACAGAGCCCATGTGCTCTGGAGCCCACACACCACAGCGAGAGAGAGGAAAAACCTGCATGCCACAACTAGAGAGAAGCCCGCACGCCACAACTGGAGAGAAGCCCACGCACCACAAGGAAGAGCCGGCGTGCCGCAACTAAGACCTGATGCAGCCAAAAATTAAAAAAAATAAAGAGTTCATTATCTTTGACTTACTGATTCTATTAATCTAACTCAAGGAAATAATTAGCAATGTGAAAAACTACTTAGGTTCAGGATCTTCATCACAGGGCTTAATTTATAAGGGCAAAAAATATGTAAAAATGGGAGAATATTAAGTAAATTGGTTTACCTATACAGTGAAACCCTAGGTAAACATTAAAAATCATGTTTTATAGAACATTTAATGACATGGGGAGTTGCTGAGGATATAATGTTAAGTGAAAAAGAAATCAGTACGATCCCAGTTTTATGCCATCTATATGTATATGCCTAGACAACAACTGGAAATGAAATACCTTAAAATACCTGTATCTCTTGGTGTTCAGATTATAGGTGATTTTTTTTCTTTTTTTGTACTTCTCCATATTTTATAAATTATCTGTAGCAGCATGTGCTTTTTTAATCAGGAAAAAAAATTTTTTTTTTTAAATAGAGAAATTCACTACACATAGACTGCCTTTAAGTCAGTAGAAAACCAAGTGTTATATTATGTTTCCAGCTTAGGTTTAGATAAAGGAGGAGGATGTTAAGCTCCAGAGTAGGCAAATAAAATTGAGAATGGAGGCAAGAATACTTATGCTGAACCCTAAAGCGTCTATGAGAATTGGCTAGGTCGGGGGTAGGGCAAACTGACAGGCATATGGTTCTCAGGATTCAAGTCGTGTCAAAGAGACCTGAGTATAACTGATTCACTTTGTTATAAAGCAGAAACTAACACACCACTGTAAAGCAATTATACTCCAATAAAGATGTAAAAATAATAATAATAATTAAAAAAGAAAGAGATGAAATAGATATCTGGTCTATAACATTAACCATTGGGTCATGTATCACTACCTTTTTTATTGGAATTGATTAAGGAAGCATGTTAAAGTGTTTAGAAAACAAAAAAGACCATTTATAAAAGTAGCTAATTCTAAGACTAGACTTTTTGTCATTTATTAAAGAGCAATAAATTAATTATAAAAAAGCTAAGAATGGTCTTCCCTGGTGGCGCAGTGGTTGAGAGTCTGCCTGCTAATGTAGGGGACACGGGTTCGAGCCCTGGTCTGGGAGGATCCCACATGCCGCGGAGCGGCTGGGCCCGTGAGCCACAACTACTGAGCCTGCGTGTCTGGAGCCTGTGCTCTGCAACGAGAGAGGCCGTGATAGTGAGGGGCCCGCGCACCACAATGAAGAGTGGCCCCCGCTTGCCGCAGCTGGAGGAAGCCCTCACGCAGAAATGAGGACCCAACACAGCCATAAATAAATAAATAAATAAATAAATAAATTTTTAAAAAGCCAAGCATTTGAAGCCCTTTAAAAAAAAAAAAAAAAACTAAGAATATCAATATACAGTGAACTTAGTATGAGGTTTTTTTTAAGTAGGCAGAGTAAAGGAGATGATAGAGCACCTGCAAGTAAGTATGACGAAATAGAAATTAGTAAAACCTAGAGGGGAGTGGGAACCTTGAATACTGTTGGGCTCTCATTGTCTCAAATATAATAGTTCAGTACAATTTCAGTTGGCTTCCAAATCTTGTAATGTTAAATATTGTATTTTCTTTTTAAGATAGGCAAAATTTTCATAATCTTGATCTTAATTTAAATTTTTTAACTTTTCAGGAAAATTTGTGTAGCCAAAGAGGTTTGATACCCAATACAGATGGTCAAACTTTTCAAATTGCTATTTCTAGCCAAATGAGACAACAGTATGACAGAATCCATGAGACACTAACAAGGGTTTGTATAAAGTACAATTCACATATATTTTGTCAGTATTTCATGTTATTTAGATACCAAGGATGTAAGCCATGTTGCATTTATCCTTGTCTCTTTTTCACGTTAGAAAAATGGCCCTGCTAGACTATTGAGTTCATCAGGAAGTACTTTTGAGCAGAGCATAAAAGCATATCATACTATGAATAAATTTCTTGGCTCTTTCATCGATCATGTATGTATCATCATTTATTTTTAAGCTAGAATCAAAATGCAATTTTTAAAAAGTTAACGAGGAGTGTCAATTATTTCTTCAGTCAACCAAGTCAATGGACTTATGCCTTGTGGGGTTTTTTTGTTTGTTTGTTTTTGCTGTAAAAACTAATACTGTGGCTTAGGAATGGGGTTAAGTTATGTAAAAGGAAAAGATTTTTACCTGTCTATTAGCATGATGATTACCTTAAAATATGTCTGTACTGGAATTTTGTTACTTTACAAATATTATCAATTATTTATTGTAGAAATATGCTATGATTGTATTCCTAAAAAGCTTGTTATAAATTGATTTTCAGTATATCTAGTCCTAAGTACTACTAATAGCATTTAAAATTTAAAACATTCCTAAAGAGTATTTTGTTATAAAGTCCAGCGTAGTAAATTGTCTTTGAAGAACAGATTTTCTTTGTGTCCTATTCATTTTTCTTTTTCTCTCCTTCTGACTTTACAAAAATTGGGAAGCATTCATTCCACTGCTATTTTTGAAATGACTCTCGTTTTTTATATTAGGTTCATAAGGAAATGGACTACTTTATAAAAGATAAATTGCTTCTTGAAAGAATTCTTGGAATGGAATTCATGGAACCAATGGAAAAAAGCATCTTTTACAATGGTATCCTTCAAATGCCTTTGCTGAACTTGATTATTATTTTCCAAGTTTGAAAAAACATGCTTGTAGTTCCTGTCTTTTGATTTTATACTTTTATATAGGAAACATAATGAACTTAGTTAACTTCAAGGAATTACAGTAGTTTTCTGTGTCCCATTTCATTATGTCATGTATCAATAGCAAGAAACAAATATATAAAAGATAATTATTCTACAAGAAAGTTAAAAAAAGCTGAATTTCAAAATCAAACAAGACTTCCCTGGTGGTCCAGTGGTTAAGGCTCCACACTCCCAATGCAGGGGGCATGGGTTCAATCCCTGGTTCAAGGAACTAAGATCCCACATGCCACACAGCACGGCCAAAACAAAACAAAACAAAATCAGTGGTAGACATGGAAGAGATAGTAAAACAAATACATAAAGTTCAGATTTTATTGGACTGTTCATTCAGTGGCACACTTATGAAACACTTAAGAATAATGTTCATGATTTATCTTTAACATTTAATTTTTCATTTTATCCAACTTCTTAAAAATTGCATGTACCTGTGTGACAGGAATAGTGACTAAACATGTTTTTTTATCATTAAAAAGGAAGTATATATGTCACTGTCAATGTGACTGATAACCTCTTGTGTGGCTTGGGAAGAATGGAAATGGTATAACCAGTGTCCTGGCCTAGATATCACTTACCCTTGTGTTATTGAGTGTCACATATTGTGTCAGTCCTGGGATACACAGACTAATGGTCCCTCCCTTGGGCATCTTGTTTAGTAGACTGTGGAAAGTAGGCATGTGATTGGGTGAGTGGAGTGATGCTGGGATAGAAGTCTGTGCAGATGCAGGTTGCACTGGGTGCAGAAAGGGAAGTAGAAAATCTAACTAGATACAGGGTGAAGCCAGAGAGGCAACATGGTGAAGTTTGAACTGGGTCTTAAAAAATAAGGTGGTGGTGTCAAACAGGAGGGTCCAGGTAAGAGAGGTGAAGACGTTTGTACAGAAGGGGGAAAGGGCATTATACACTTAAGGAACTTTATGATTGAAGCCTCGAATGAAGTGGGTCAGTGAGAGAGAGTGCATGAACAATAAAGAGGGCAGAGACTGAATCCCAAAGGCCTTGTCTGACACCCTAAGGAGTTTTGCTTTATCCTATAGAGCACTTGTTTCCAAAAACATTTTTAAAAAAATTTTTGTCCTACAAGGTGTGTGCAGGTTGATCCATGGAGGTGTGAGAAGAAAATATTAAAAAGTCTATTTGTATATTTGCAATTCCATCATTCTTAATTTATATTTTGGAAAAATTATATGTAGTAGTAATTAATAAACTACGCCTATTATGGGATGCATGCTCAGCATTTTATTCTGATAAGGATACATGATCAGAACAATTTGGAAACCACTGCTAATGAACATGGATGTCATCAGAAAGCCTTCAGCATATCTGATTTATAAATTGGAAGAATTATTCTGGCAGTAGTGAATAGGTTGAGTTAAACAGATGTAAGACTATAACAATATAACTTAGTCATTAAGAACATAGCTTTCATATTAAAGAATATAGCTTAGTCATTAGGAATATAGCTTTCACAATAAAGTTTTCTGGTCTTGGGTTCAAAATCTGACTACTAGTTTTGTGCACTTGAGAAAGTTGTTTACCCTTTCTGAACTTTAATGCCCTCTCTATAAAATTAAATATAACCTTCTAAAGGTGGTTGCATTTACACCTGTGTAATCATTGTGTAAAGAACCTGGTATGGGTAGGCACTCAGAAAAATGATGTTACCGTTTCTAATAATAATAAAATCATCATCAACAATTTCTTCATCTCTATTGGGAAATTAGGAGAATATGAGCTAAGGCAGTAGTGATGAGGATAAAGAGGAAGAAAAGATTGCCAGAGATGTTAAGGAAAAGAACGTAGGAGAGAAAGAGTAGTCAAAAATCATCCAGATTTCCAGCTTGTGTGACTAGGTGGTTGGTGGTGGTGCCACCCTTCTCTGAGACAGGAAGTGCAGATGGAGGACCAGGTTTTGAAGGAAAGAGGATGAATTTGGTTTTGAATATGTTGTGTCTTGAGGTACCTTTGGGACATCTAGGAAGAGATGTCCAGTAAGCCATTAAATGTAAGGAACTGGGGGACTGGATCTTAGGAGGAAGTAAAGGCACACAGTAAGCTGGGGAGTCTCATCAAATGAGATCATTGCTGGAGCGATGGCAGTGAAAGGTCACCCACGAAGATTGTATATTGCTGGCTTGTTTATTTTTTTAAAATATGTATACAACTATATGTACAGAAGTGCATATCTTGTAAGGATATAGCTTAATGGCCAGTGAATTTTCACAAACTGAATATATTCCTATAACTAACTCCCTGATCAAAAAAGAATGTTAACAGCAAGTATCCTAACTGGGTATCCGTGGGCAGCTGAATCACTGAAGTGACTCTCTGTACCTCCCTGAAATTGTGTGCAAGATTTGTATATGTGTACTTCCCCCACTTCCTCTCGTGAAAGGGTCTGTAGCTTTCATTAGAATCTTAAAAGGGTGTTCACATCCCGAAAAGGATGAACCCCTACTTGGGGAGTGAGAAGAGAAAAGGTCTCAGAGAAGAACCTTAGGGGACTACTTGAGACATAAATTATAGCACACTATTCTAGTCCTTGCTGGTTTTGTTTTGCTTTTTATTTATTTATTTTAATTGAAGTATAGTTGATATACAATGCTGTGTTAATTCTCTGCTGTACAGAAAAGTGTGTTTTGCTTTTTAAACTTAATCTATCTCAGAGAATCTTTCTGAGATTCTTTAGCCTTTAGTTATATAAACAGAGAAGGGATATTCATTACCTGATCATTGAAAGATATTGACTGTATACTTAAACTACTAGCAATTACAACCCTTGGTGCAAATGATAAAACTGCTTTTTATGAGCAGAGTTCTTTGATTAACCTTTTAGATTAGCAAATTTTAATACCCATTATTTTTTGTAAACCATGAAGTATTTTTTTCTTTTTTTAAATTCAGGTATAATTGACATACAATAGCCATGAAGTATTATAGTAACTAGTTGTTTTTAAATATCCAAGTTTTATCACCAGAAATTTATCACAGGTTTATTCTATTTTTAAATTTCTAATTTATGTCTTACAAATTGCTTTTTTTTTTGATAGATGAAAGTTATTCTTTCAGCAGTGTTCTGTATTATGGAAATGAAGCCACTCTTCTTATTTATGATCTGATGTTCTTCTGTGTTGTGGATTTGGCTTGCCAAAATTTTATTTTAGCATCCTTCCTTACGTACCTACAGCAAGAGGTAAATTTAAGAATTTTTTCTGGGTTTCATTTAAAAGAAGTATGTTAGAAGTAGATATTTATTTTTATAGCAGAGAGTAACAATATATAGTCTCACTAGGAATTTATAAAGATTTAGAATATGATTCGCCCTGCCAAAAAAAGGAAAAACATTTCAACGAGGTTCATTCTACACTTTCCTTCAGGGTCAATGAAGTACTGAGGTCTCGGGGAAGGCGTAAGTTGCTTGAGCAAATGTGAAAGGAACCTAATAGGAAGACATTTAAATTATCCATCTCTCCTACATGCCAGCAGTGAGCAGTAATTAGAGTCCCATTCACCCTGTGTACCAGATGTTACTGTAACAAAAAGGCAAGCTCTGAGATGTAGCTCGAGGCTCAGCCACTTTAACTTGTAACTCTCACACATCCCCTATCTGCTTGGATTAGAAAACAATTGCGTGGATGGGTGTGGAGCCTGAAATGGAGACTTCAAGAAAAACCAAATTTGTTCTAGAAATGTTAGTATTCATAACACCCAAATATTCCCCACTATGTCAAAGAAGTATATGAGTTAATAAGATATATTAGTTTTTGATAGGGATCTAGAATTAGAACAACTTCTGTTCCTAACAGTTCTTTTGACGTTTCCATAGCTTTTAGAGCTAGAGGAAACTTGTCTTGCCAAATATTTAAAAGTATATTCCTGTGAACCTAAGGGGATTTGTATTATTAATTTATAAAAATATATTCTGAATAGGGACGCACACTGCTTTAGTATTATGAAAGATGATAATAGTCTTGAAATAATTTTGTGTATTGCCATGGAATTCAGATGTCTGATACATGAAAATAAATAGTTGAGAGAATTAGCTAGTTTAATTTAGATATTTTAATTGATGTGCACAATTAATTTCCTTTATATATATTTTTTTCCTTCTGGATTGTTTTACTTTTTTTTCAGATTTTTAGATTTATTCGTAATACAGTAGGACAGAAGAATTTGGCATCCAAAACACTGGTGGATCAAAGATTTCTGATTTAATTTATTGACTAGATAAAGACAATTATAATCATGGCAAAAACAAAGTCATGATTATCAGGTTAGTTTGCCATATTTTTTAAAACTTGTAATACAAATTATTCTATTTTTATTTGTTTTTTAATCTACAGATTTATTTTTATAACTTGTAGATACATAACTTGCTTTGTGAACATGTAGTGTGATACAGTGGAAAATATTATTTTCCTATTATGCATGGTATTTAATTCACCAGCTTATAGACTAGATAGCTCTGACAATGGGACAAAAAAAAATCTAAATATTGCTTTCAGCATAACATTTTTTTAATGATATTCAAAACAGTCCCCATCATTTGTCTCTGTAGATTATTTTATGAACTAGTTTTGCCTATATTTTCTCACACTGAAAAAGAATTTTGATTCCAAGTTCAAGCCTAGTTTTCAATTCAGTATTTTGTTTTACATATTTTATGGTTAAATAAATGTTGAAAATATTTTCAAGTTTACTTAGAAATTTGAAATTGTATATGGGCTGAATCAATTTGCCTCATTTTAATTGTTCACCCTGTTTGGCAGTGGACTGATTCACTATTGGAATAATAGGCACCTCGTGAAATGGTACATAGTCATTCCTTTGTATACCTGTATTATTAGGTCAATATACTCTTTCCATGAAGTATGTTTATCTCTCTAATATCATTTACATTATTGAGCTGTAATATGTGACATTTTCCTCAGTATAATTTTTTATACATTTATTCATTACTTAACATTTTAAGAGCACTCCCAAAGCTTTGCTCTTCAATTATGTTTAAAGATTGTAAATAACAAACTGTAAGTTATGTTAACAAGGTGATTTATTGAAAGTAAACTTAGGCTTCATAAGTTAGTAGGCTAGTATTTTTTTTTAAAATAAGGAAAAAAATATGAGGAGCCAAAATATAATTAATGTAAATCCTGAGCCATGTAGCTAATAGTTTTCTGTGATATTATTTTTCTTCAATATGCTCTTTAATAATCCTTTTCATTGTGTACCATGAACTTGAAAGTCACCTTATTTCAAGTATAATGGTCATTAACCCCCAAAGCAACATTTCTTACTGCCTTCTATGTTAATGTGTAAATACTTAAATGTAATGCTATGTAAATATTGTTTATATTACTGAATTGAAAATATAGAATAAAACATTTGGTGTTTCTCTTTCCTGTTTTATTAATATGTATTTTATGAAATAGCGTTTAGGAATACAACAGTATTGGGGCGGGTGTCCCCAGCCATTGCTAAAGCTGAATCCTTTACATTCTCTGAATCTTGAGGATGACTGAGAAGAGGGGAGGCTAATAAGTTGAGGATTTGAAACTCTGGTTTCTTAAGGGTCACAGTACAGAAATGCCTTTCTAAAAGCCTCAGAGATAAGTAAATGTACCAGCATGGATTTTTAAAGCTACCTACTCAGAAGCTTATGAAAGAAATACGACTCTCATTCTACATAAAAGAAGTTAATATTCGTGTGAATGTATCTAAGTGGAAATTTCAAAAAATATGATCTGTTGGCTCACCTGCTGATAAATTAAGACAGAGAAAAGACATTTAAAAAATCATTTGAAAGTAGTTTTGTACAATATTATTTTTATTTTGGTTAGATACATAAAAGGGTGTACAGGTTTTCATATACTATTGACTCTTGTGTTCATATTTCCATGATTTAAACTTTGTGATCATGTGCTTAATTTTCTACTAGACCCATAATCTTTTGTCTATTTCTGTAAAACCAACCCACTGTACTTTGTATATTATATCCTTAATTCTACTGATTACATAGAAACATTTGATAAATCTCTTGGTCATTTCATAATGACCCTAGGTTCACCTAGAGGTTCTTTACAAGCTGCTGTGTGCTTTCTATCCTCCTTATTTATTTATTTATTTTTTAAAATAAATTTATTTTTGGCTGTGTTGGGTCTTCGTTTCTGGGCGAGGGCTTTCTCTAGTTGCGGCAAGCGGGGGCCACTCTTCATCGCGGTGTGCGGGCCTCTCACTATCGCGGCCTGTCTTGTTGCGGAGCACAGTCCCCAGACGCTCAGGCTCAGTAGTTATGGCTCACGGGCCCAGTTGCTCCGCGGCATGTGGGATCTTCCCAGACCAGGTCTCGAACCCGTGTCCCCTGCATTAGCAGGCAGATTCTCAACCACTGTGCCACCAGGGAAGTCCTATACTCCTTAGAAATGCATAGGCCCTTGAAATAATTCTGCAGATCAGTCTCTCTATTTGAGATGTTTATACTCGCTTACTTCTTTCATACTGCTGCCCTAGCAAACTGCCTTTTGAGAAGGCTCTGCTGTTTACCTAGATTGAGAAGCATTCAAAATGACCATTAACACAGTGCTTGCAAGCATGAAACATGTACCTTTTTGTTGTTGGTAAACATTGACAATAAAAGCTGAGAGGAAATAAATGTAAGTTGAAGAGCAGTGTGGCTTAATGGAAAAATGCTCCAAATTTAGTAACAGAAGCCATGGATTTGAATTAGAATTTTGCCCTTTGTCACTTACTAGCTTTGTGACTTTACACCAAGTTGTTTGGCATCTTTGAGCTTCATTCCACATCTTTATAATGGAAATAATATCCTTTGCTTACCACTTGTAAGGATTAATTCGTTAAGATAGGCTTATAATGGTAAACTATGAACACTGGAATTTTAAAATATTTTAGTGTGAAATATGTGCCTTCAAATGTATATTCTATCTTGCTAATAAATTAATTCTATGATATTAAAACTGAGATTACTGATTTCAGTAACTAAGCAATGAAAATCCTGGACCTTACTTCTGCCTCAGTCACCCCAGCCTCAACAAGGAAGAGGCCTTGATAGATGTCAGACCTTTAGTGAAAGGAGGCAAGAAGGAGCTGTTACCCCATTTTGTAGGTGTGGTTTGTGGTACAGATTAGAAAAGAGTAGAGAGTGGAATGTTGTCTCTGGAAGGGAGGGTTTATTTCATTTGCTTATTCATTTATACATTCATTCAAGCAACATTTCTACCCATTCCCACTCCCTGGCCCCTCAGAAGGGTAAGACAATTAGTAGAGGAAACAGGTATATTAACCATAATTACAGCAATCTGAAAAGTGCTGCAGCCACTAGGGTGTGATGTGGGGAAAGCTCGTAACTGCGCATCTCTGGTCATCAGGGCTTTGACTTGACAGAGTGGTATTTGATCTAAGATTTAAAGATAAACAAGACAAGTGCAATCAAAGCAAGGAACAATATATGCTCTGAGGTGAAGCATATGGCCATTGGCTACTACAGATTGTTTGAATACGGAATACATATACTGTTTATATTTAAAACAATATTCTGTATATTATGATGTTTTAACATCTTAAAAGTTTTTTCGGACTGGGGAGAGACTGCCCTGCTGGGACTAGCCAATTCTTAGAGGTAGCAAAGGACCCACACAGAAGCAGGCCTCTGATATGCAAACTCACCAATCCAGAGCCATACCTGCACCATCTGGCCCTTACCCCCACCGGAAGCAATATTCCTCTGCCTTGGTCATCCCAGGACCAGGTACCAGGCAACCAGGGACCACTCCTATCGCTTAGAGCCTGCTGTAATTATTCAAAGTAACCAGTCCTAAGTTGTTACCCTGCCCTGCCTTGCCTTTCCTGCAGAAATGCAGAAACTAATAAAGGCCATGGCCTAGGCTCTCCCCTCGCTCCTGTCCCTTTGCCTCCTGACCAACACTGGCGCTTCCCCATGTGGCTCTGCATGGCGTGGGTGCCTCCTGTTTCTGACCTGTGAGTATAATAAACTTTGTTTTCCTGAGCCTCTACTGTGTCTCTTCTTGTGGCCGAACCTGACTGACTGTCCCGTAAAGGAACACACGACAGTACATTTGGGGGTTTTGGAGGGAGATGGTTGGAAAGGAAAACAGGAGCCATATCATTAAAGGCTTTTACATCAAGCCACAGTGTATGCAGAGTTTAACCAAGCTAAGTTTCCCAGCCTACCTACAAATGAATACTCAGTACCCGGAAGAGTAAGTGAATGGACAGAGGCGCAAGAGGGGACCTTCCACAGTCAGATCGCTCTGGTATAATTGACGGTCCATGGGCTAGGAGACTGTCTGGCTGCATGTCATGGTTCACAAGAAAATACATTGCCTATAAGAGAGGCAGTAAGGCAGTAAAGGATAGTGGCTGAGAACGCAAACTCTTGAGCCGCACTGCCTGTATTCAAGTCCTGGCACCACCACGTAGTAGCTGGGTGGTTTGGGGTATCTTGCTCATCTGTAAAAGGGGATAATAGTACCTATTCATAGAGTTATTGGGAAGGTTAAATGAGTTAACGTGTGTACGGTGCTTAGAAGAGTGCCTGGCACATAGTAAATGCTATGTAGATGTTAGCTATGTAATAGTAGTAGTAGTAGTAGTGGTAGTAAGTCCCATGAATATTTAATTATGAAAGAAAGACCCAGATTAGTCCCCTGGGAGCTTGTATTAAGACACTGTCACATTGCCGGGAGTGCTAGAACAGTAGACAAACTGCCCAATCAAAGCAGTCTGTAGGATTTAATAAGTAACTTTCCTTCTATTATAGTTATTATTACAAAAGAAATACATGGCTGTGGCCCAAGGATAAACAAATGACCATTGGGAGGGAGACTAGAAACAGAGCCACAGGTATACAGTCACTTGATTTATGACAAGGGTGACATGCAGTACAGTGAGGAAAGGGTGGTTTCTCAATGTTCAATTGAATATCACAAGGGAAAAAAATGAATCTTTACCCCAATGTTACACACAAAAATCAATTTCAGGCAGATGGTAGATCTAAATGTGAAAATTTAAATGATAAAGCCTCTAGAAGATACCATTGGAAAATATGTTCATAACATTGGTGTAGGCCAAGATGTCTTAAGACCCAGAAAACACTGACCATTGGTAAGTTGGACTTCACTATTTACATTAAATTTACAATTATGCATATTTACAGTAAATGTAAATTTTCCATTTACATTGAAATTAGGAACTCTGTTCATCAGAAAATAGCATTATAAGAATGAAAAGACAAACTTCAATATGAGGAAAAAAATTTATAAACATATATCTGACAAAGCATTCCATCCAGAATAAAGAACTCATCAAATCAATAAGGAAAAGACAGACAATCCAATGGAAAAATGGGCAAAAACCTGAAGTATGCATCTCCCAAAACCGGGTTCGCAAATGACCAACCAGCACATGTGAAAAGTGCTCAACCTTAGTCATCGTGAGAATGCAAAATAAAATCAAGAGATACCACTGACTACCCAACCATCAAAATGGCTAATATCTTAAAACTTAAAATACCAACTGTTGGTAAGGAAGTGGAACAAATGACTGATACTATGTTATATAAAGCGAGAGGATTTGTCTTATTAGACTGGACTATTTTCCAGGCATCTCAAAGATGTTAAGACTCGACGTCTCTGCCCCGTTTGACTGAAGCAACGGTGACAGCGGATGGCAGTAGAGCGCATGCTGAACTCTGGCCGGCTTTCCAGGGTGTTGAGCTCCCTGGGCTGCAGAGCCTGGGGACAGGGCTCCCTAGCGCCGCACTTCAGGACCTTGACCTTGTCACCGCTCCTCACTTCTACTGTCCCTCCCTGTATATGTAATGCTGAGGTTTTTTCAACCCAGGTTTGGGAATTGAATGCTAAAAGTAGAAATATAAGAGAGAGAATCACAAAACAGGTCATGTCTCGAGGAAAAAAAAGCTCATTAAAAATCTAATGATTATGGAATCTTCCTTCATTTTAATAAAATACACATTTACATTAAAATCATAAAATAAAAAAAAAACATTATCCAGAGTACGTAAGGCCTCTTTTATAAATATAATCTCACTAATTGGGACTCTGTATGATATTTTCCTTATATGCTATGATATACAATATATCATAATGTAAAATGTGACATACTATGTTGTATGTTAATACTATATGTTATATGTTTTAATGTGGCAATAAACCTTCATCAAAAGGCAATATAGTTTCCAAAACCATGCAGCCCACGTTCTTTTCTTAGATTTTCTTAGAGTTTGTTTTACATGAGTGAGGCCTGTATATTAAGCAAGATTACAAGAGAGGTTTTCAGCATGTATAAGTGTGATGACACGTGTATGTTTCCCCCCTATTTTTTGTTTATGCAATATTTGTACTTTTTAATACTATGATGCTATTAGTTTTCTAGTTTATATCTCATATTTATTCTTTTACTTGATGGAATCAGAAAAAAATAGTCACACAGTCTTGACCTGACTGAGAGAGCCATGGTCAAGCCTGTCACTGGGCCTGGTCTCTACCAGTCTGATCATCTTTAACTTGTACCTGTTTCTTTTCCTTGGGGAGAGAATGATGGAATTTATATATCGTGACCTGCTGCTTACTAAAACTACATCCTATAACTATGAGCTTACAAACAGCCTTCTCATATACATCTTCCGTTACAAATCCATGTTTAAATGACATAGCAAATATAAACAAGATTTTTCACCAAAGATTTGTGTTTCCCCCCCGCCCCACAATCAATCACTTTGGATACTTGGGCGCAACCGTGTGACAGAAAAGGAAGCTCCTGGGTAGCAGGTGGCACCACTTAGCCTCATCATTAAGGGAAAGATCAGGTCTGTTTTGATTTCTCTCTTATCCCAATTGTCTGGCATAGCACCTTGAAAATAATAGCAGGGACTTCCCTGGTGGCACAAGAATCTGCCTGTCAATGCAGGGGACACGGGTTGGAGCCCTGGTCCGGGAAGAACCCACATGCCCGCAGGGCAACTAAGCCCGTGCGCCACAACTACTGAGTCCGCGTGCCAGAACTACTGAAGCCTGCGCGCCTAGAGCCCGTGCTCCACAGCAAGAGAAACCACCGCAATGAGAAGCCTGCGCCCTACAATGAAGAGTAGCCGCCTC